CAACAGAAGAGCTTGGTTTGGATTTGTGCATGCGCATATGCCTCTAAAAGCAAGGGGCCTTAAAGGACATGGTCTGATTACTCCAAAGAATTTCACTGGATTCATAGTAAGAAGCCACACTGTTATCCCAAAGGCACAAAGTTCGAATCCACCAGTGGCTATGAAAGATGGGCAGTTTCCTCCTGTATGTTTTATTGTCTCTGAAAATCCTTTGGAGAGTCAGCTATGGTTCAAACAACAACTTTGTACAGAAGCAAACTAATCTGTTACATTTTTCTCTGGTGGGTTTGAACTAAGGAAAATTCAGCTCATCACATAACCCTTTCTACTAGGGCTTCTTGGACATTAACTTCATGTTTTCCAAGTTGGCAAGCTAACTACAGACTTAGTGGGTAGGTTTGCATAAACCTGGGGAGCAAAGGTCATCCCTAGGTCCAGAATAAAGAAAGCGATTATGTCTTTCCAACCCTTAGCTCCACCCCTAATTCCAGCCTTGTAATCCAGCAAGTGGAGAAACTTGCCCAGACTTGCCCTGAACTCATTAAAGAACAATGAAGAGGGGGGGAGAGGAAAAAGGCCTTTCCTATCTACAATGTAATGTCAGGGAGGCCCCATTTATGTGATAAACTGGAAATATTTGAGACAGAATGATTTTGTAAATATTTGCTTGAAGGGTACCTCATATACCAGAACTCAACAGAATTTCCTAAATTCCTTCCAGTGTGCTGTTAACCTAATATTTTAAATGGCACTGTAACTGTATTAGCAAGGTGCCATATTTTATTAACTAAGAAAAAATAAATTCAGTGTGGTGGTGGTGTTAGGTGCCATTGAGTTGAGTACAACTCATAGTGACCCTTTGAACAAAATTTTGAACCCTGTCTGTCCTGCACTGTCCTCACACTTCCTGACACACCATAGCCCATTGCAGCAGTCACCTTGTCAATCCACCTGATTGAGGGTCTTCCTCTCCTTTGCCAACCTTCTTCTCTTTCCAGGATCATGTCCCTCTCCAAGGAATAGCCTCTTCTAGCAACATGCCTAAAGTATGTGAGGCGAAGCGTCATCATTCTTGCCTCCACAGAGCACTCCAGCTGCACCATCTCCAAGACGTGTGTATTTGTCCTCTTGGCCGTCCATGGAATGTTCAATGCTCTTCTCCAACACCACAGCTCAAAGGCATCCATTCTTTTTCTGTACTTTATTTACTGTCCAGCTCTCAGATGCATAGCAAGTGATAGGAAAGACTACAGGCTGAATCAGACACACATTAGTCCTCAAACTGACATCACTACTCCTCAACAATTTGGAAAAGTGCCTAACTACAGACTTTCCAGTGCAATGTCTCTCCTTTCCTGACTTCTGGTAATAAGGATGTCAACTGTGGATCCGAGAAAGAGGAAGCTGTTGACAGTTTTCATCTCTTTACCATGAGATTGCCAATCTGTCCCGGGGTAAGAATCTTTGTCTTCTTGATATTGAGATGTGATCCATACTGAAGTGTGCTGTCGGCTAACTAACATGACTCTAATTTAGATGATCTATGCGTGTGTGTGTGTGTGTGTGTGTGTGTGTGTATGACCAAATCAAATTTCCTCACCTGTTAATTGAGAATAACACATTATCTTGCATTCCAAAAGGCTTTAGCCACATTGCTGGTTTACCAGATAAGGTATGCTTGGGTTTATTTGCCTTTACTTACTAATCTGCAGGGAACAAAGCCACATTACTTTAGCATATCAAAGATCCTGCTTCTAACTGTTGCTAGCATCTGTCTCTTTCCCATTCCCACAGCAAGCTTCCTCCAGAATCAAAGCCTTCCCCCCCACCTCTCAAATTTGCAAAACCTTATAGCAACAGAATGCTCAGTAGCCCAGTACTCACTCCTGTTAAGATTCCAACTTAGAGATCCCACAGAACAGAGTAGAGCTAACTGCCTTTTGGGTTTCCCAGGGAAGAAATCTTTCAGACTAATTCTCTGCAACAATAGCTGGTGGATTTGACCCACAGATATTTTGGTGGACAGCCTAACACTTAACCTACTCTACCATCAAGGAGGGCTCCTTGTAAGTGAGATAAGCACAGGTTTCCTTCTGGTTACTCATTAAATCTGTAGTGAACAGTTTCACATGAGGTTCATCGCCAGAGCTCAAGCCTAACCCACTGCCACTGAGCCAATTCCAACTTGATGGGAACATTATGGGGTAGAGTAGAACTTCCCCACAGGTTCTGCAAGGCTATAAATCTTTATAGCACTCTCAACCTTACTCAGAGCTCTATGGGGACTCACACCAGTGACCTTTTGGCTGGCAGTCTAACACTTATCACTTATCGACTATGACAACAGCGACAACAGCGTTCCTTATCTGCACATTATGAGCACAATGAATGCGATTGTAGCAATAAAGTTATTAGCGCAAGAAAGAAAAAAGAAATGGAAACCCATAAGTTATGTTACTTTGATGACATAATGGTTAAGAGCTCAGTTAGTAACCATGGTCTAAGTCTGGCACCTACCAGTTGATAAATGAGGGAAAAAAGACTTGTCAATCTGCTCTTACAAAGATTGTTGTTGTTGTTGTTGTGTACCATAGAGTGGGAAGTGACCCATAACTGACCCTCCAGAAGGTTTTCAGAGGTAATTAATCACATGCAAGGAGATGGCCGGTCCTTCTCCCGCCGAGCAACTGGTGGCCTCAAACCTCATGCCTTCAGAATTGCAGCACAGCCTCTTGCCACTAGGCACCCAGAACTTCCTTCACGAAGATTAGAACCTGGGAAATTCTAAGGGCTATCCTATGCCTGGAAAATTCTATAGGGTTAGACCCTACAGAGTTACTAAGATTCAGAGTCTACCTACAGCACCCAACTCACAAAAACAAGGTGGTACTCAATAGGAGAATCTGAAAACCACCACTCTTCAAAAAGTCTGGGTTGACTTTCCAGAATAAAAAGGAGTGATAGTGTTGACATTATCAAGGATTTCATTTTACCTGGATCAATAACCATTGCTCACAGAAGTCTGTCACAAATCAAATGTTGTCATCTATTGGATAAGTCTCCTTTAAAACACCTCTTTAAAATCTTAGAGAGCAAGGATATCACTTGAATGACTAAAGTGTTCCTGCCTGCCCCAAGTCATTGTCATCAGTTATGTAAAGTACATGTGTACAAAGAATCACAAAAAGACTGAAGAATTCACATATTTGAATTACAATGTTAATGAGCAACATTATTTATACGATGGACTACTCTTGTTGTTGTGTACCGTAGAGTTGGAATCAACCCATAGCTGTTCCTACAGTGTGTTTTCAGAGGCATCTAATCATACTGGAAGGAGACAACTCATCCTTTTCCAGTGGAGCTGCTGGTGGCCTTGAACCTCACACCTGTAGGATTGCAGAGCAGCTTCTTGCCTCTAAGACACCAGAGCTCCATGGATGACTAGATTACCGGATAAACGTCTTGAAGGAAGAATAGCCAGAATACTCCTTAGAAGTGAGGATGATGAGACTGTCTTACTTTATTTAGCCAAGTTAACAGGAGGGATGAACTTTTTCAGGAAGACATTGTGGGTGGTAGAGAGTCAGTGAGAAAAAGAAGCTTCCCAATGAGATGGATTACCACAGTGGCTGTGAATATGTCTTCAACAGAGTCACACAGGACGAGATATTATTTCATTGTCTTATGGACAGGGTCACTAGGAGTTGACACTAGCTTGTTAGCCAGAACAAAACCAACAATAACAAGTAGCATTAAGACTCCCTGGAAGGCACAATGCCTAAGCACTCCTCTACCAGCTGCATTTGGCAGTTGAAATTAACTTAGTGGCACCTGGAAAGACGGGTTAGATAGTTCTCTTCTGAAAGGTCCCAGCTTTGAAAACCCTATGGAGTAGTTCTTCTCCACACACAAGATTAGAACCACATCCCTAGCCGCTAACATGACTTAACACGCTACTTGAACCAACACTGTGAATAAGTAATTCCAAATAAAAAATGATAGGGGAATTTGATGGCCAAACTTTAACATCAGGAGCACTTAATACCACTCTCTTTCAAAGAAAGGTTTCCTTGGTGATAATAGTAGTTAAAGAACAAGGGTTACTAACTCACTCAAAGTTGAGATTGGAACCCACCAATTACTCTTTGGGAGAAAGCTGTGGCAGTTGGCCTCAGTAGATTTACAGTCTTGGAGCAATTCTCTGTTCTACTGGGAGTCTCAAGACTAGCTAAGAGTTTGGGGTTCTGTTCAAAGGACCGCTAATAGGACTTCTAAAACTTTGCACTAGGTGGAGCCCTTGACCTCCCAATCCTTCGGGCGCCCTGGTGTCAAAGCCTTGCGGGGCGCCCGCCTCGCTCGCCAAGGTTAAGTACAAGCCTTAACCTCCGATGGCGAGGCCCTTCCCAGGGATGAGCAGGGGACTTCTGGCCCTCAAACAGGATCCGACCACAGTTGGCCCACCTGCCTCCGGGCCGACTGGCGAACATTCAGAAAGAAAAAGGAGCCCGGAACACGCTGCTCCAGGCACCTTTCCTTTCACAGGGGAATGGCTTTTCCCCAATGTCTCCAACTAGGCAGGAGTTATCTTGGGAAAAGCTCAGTGGCACCCGCGGACGGTGGCAGCCCCGGCGCTCAGGTGAGCGAGCCCTCTGAGCGCCCCAGGAGTGAACGCGGGCACATTCACCCCGCAACACCCAGCGGCATTAGGTGCTTGGGGGAAGGGGACTGGGGAAAGGGCCAAACGGGGGGGGCGGGACGAGGGCAGGTGGGCGGGGCGATGCGAGAGAGGCGGGGCCAAGCCGCGGCCCTCGGTTTTCTAGTTTACACGCCAGCGCTGTGAGCATGTGGAGAACAGGGTGGCGGTCGAGGGGGCAGCCGCTCGTTCCCGCAGCAGGCCTCCCTTTCAGGACAAGAGACCCCGCGGCCGGCGTCCCAGGCGCGCCGGCTCGTTGAGCGGTCCCAGTGGAGGTCCCGAGCTTCTGCTGAGAGCTGCGCGCGCCGGTGGGCGGGGCGTCGTCTGTGACGTCGCAGCACTTTTCGAGTCTCCGTCCCCTGGCCCCCTCGTATATAAGACTTCGCCTGGCGTTGGCACTCGCACAAGTGGAAGAGGGCGTCTGGTGGATCTTTGAGGTTGTCAGAGGGGGGAAATCAAGGACTCGGGCAGACTCGGACGTGTGTCCGCGCCTCGGAGGTGGCAGCAGGCGGTGCCTCGCAGCGAGGCGGCGATGGAGCTCTTGAGGACTATCACTTACCAGCCGGCCGCTGGCACCAAGATGTGCGAGCAAGCGCTGGGCAAGGCTTGCGGCGGGGACTCGAAGAAGAAGCGACAGCAGCAGCACCCGGAGGAGCCGCAGACCCTGCAGCCCGCGCCTCAGGTGCAGCCGGCTGCTCCGCACCACCATCACCACCACTCCCACTCTGGGACGGAGATCTCACGGATTATCGTCGATCCCACGACGGGAAAGCGCTATTGCCGGGGCAAAGTGCTGGGCAAGGTGACGATTGGCGGGCGCCGGGCTGGCAAGCGGGGGGGGTCAGCCTGGGCAAGCCCCCGGCGGGCGGCCGGGGATCCGGAGCCCCAGCCCCGGCCGCTTCCCGGCTGCTCGGGATCCGATCCCGGCGCCACGGGGCCCCTCACCTGCCCTCTGGCTTTTGTGCGCGGGCAGCATTGGGGATTTGCTCTGTTTCCAACCTTATGCCACGGCTCCGGGTGCGTCCCGCAGTCCCCCAAAATTGATCCAGAGCCCACAAACGATGGCTGTGAACAACAGATGGATCTTCCTCCACCTCCCGGATAATTGATTTTCTGGATATGTCCCTTCAGACATAATTTCTCATCTATTTCCCCTTCCCCCATAAAGCGCCCCTTTGTCAAAAAAAGGGAGATGCAAGAATTTAACAACTGTTTTCGTGAATGCTTTCCGCCTCATGAAGGGGCTTTTATAAATTAGATCGTGTCCTTCTCAATCTTCCTCCCTCATAGTTTTTTTTCTTTAAAAAAAAA